AAGGTGAATTCTGATCTCTTTAGAGGAGTCTCAGTCAATGACCTCAATAGAGATTCTCACCTTTTCTTATTTCTCCCTCACCTCCATCAACCACCCTTGTTCTCAAAAAAAAAAAAAAAAGAGATCGGACATGGAAACTGAAAAGAGATTTAGATGAGGTCCTCTTGAGAGAAGAAATTTCTTGGAGGCAGAAATCTAGACGTAAGTGGCTCAAGGAAGGAGATGCAAACACTAAGTTTTTCCATGAACTAGCCAATGGAAATTAGACTAGCTGTTTTCTCCATGAACAAATCTAAAGCACTAGGGCCGGATGGATTTGCTATGGCTTTCTTTCAAGATTGTTGGTACATAGTCAAAGAAGATTTGGTTAAGGCTTTCAAAGAATTTGAGGATAATTCAGTGATTAGTCGTGGAATTAATGCTACTTTTTTAGCCTTGATTCCCAAGAAGAAAGAGGCCAAGCATCCACAGGACTTGACCTATTAGTTTGGTGACTCTAGTGTGTATAAGATTGTGGCTAAGGTCTTATCTTTGAGGATTAAAAAGGTGCTTCTATGTATTATCAACCAAGCCCAAGGAGCTTTTGTTCAAGGGAGACGAATAGTAGATCGGGTCATCAAGGTTTTGTTTGTAAACTAGATCTTGGAAAGGCCTATGATCTAGTAGATTGGGGTTTCTTGTTACTCGTGCTAAGGAAGTGTGAGTTTGGGGATAGATGGTGCAAATGGATAAATGGTAGCCTATCCTCCTTCCATTACTCCATCTTGGTCAGTGGTAGTTAATGGTTTTTTCCCAGCTAGTAGGGGCCTGAGACAAGGCGATCCCATGTCATATTTCCTATTCACTCTAGTTGCCGATGCTTTCAGTTGATTCCTCTCAGAAGCGGATAGGGCCAGGTCTTTAAGAGGGTGGAAAATGGGTAGAGGCAGAGTTTCAATTGTCCATCTTCAATTTGCAGATGATATAATAATCTTTTGTGAAGGTTGTGATTTGATGGAGGTAAGAAATCTGAAGGATTTAATAATTCACTTTGAGAGGGCCTCAAATTTGAAGATAAAGTTTGAGAAGAGTTGTGTTGTGGGAATAAATAAATCTTAACAGAGAGGAGATGGAGTCTATAGCAGCCTGTTTAGAATGCACTTGGTCACAGTGGCCTTTATCCTACCTAGGACTTCCCTTATGTGCAAATCCAAAGTAAAGTAGGTTCTGGAACCCGGTGGTGGAAAAATTTGAAAAAAGATTGGCAGCTTGGAAGAGAGACTATATTTCCTTGGGGGGTAGAGTTACTTTGATTAAGGCAACTCTAGCCAACTTGCCAATATACTTTGTGTCAGGCTTTAGAATTCCTAAAAGGGTGGCAAAGAGGTTGGAAAAATTGACGAGGGACTTCTTATGGGAACCTAGGAAAGAGAAAAAAGACCACTTGATTAGGTGGGAGGTAGTGAGTCAAAGCAAAAAAAGGAGGCCTAGGATTAGGGAATGTTGTGTGTAAGAACGGAGCTCTTTTATGTAAGTGGCTTTGGAGGAGGCCATTGGAGAGAGAGGTTGTGGCATGAAGTAGTGAAGAGTATCAATGGCCGTTTGGAATCAGGTTGGGATGCGGGGCTATTCTGAAGGGCTTTGCTCACAACAACCTAGAAGACAATTTCTGGCATTCTCCCCAAATTTCTCAGGTTTGTAAGGTATGATGTTTGTTTTGGAAACTCTGTTCTTCTTTGGGAAGATATTTGGGTGAGCACTCAACCCCTAAAAGACCGTTTCCCTTCTCTCTATTCCATCTCCCTCTTTAAAAAGAAACCTATTTCGAGGTTCCTTTCCCCTCTGGTTCTCCCTTTGGCTTTAAACTAGAATTTTGGGTTCCAAAGAGGGTTAAGGGATGATCAATCTTCTTGTGTTTCAGAGCTCTTGTTGCTTCTAGACTCTGTGTTTGGACCACCTAACCCGGATAAAAGGGTTTGGTCTCTAACCCCGATTGGCTCCTTCACTTGTGCATCTTTCTTTAAATCCCCTTGCTCCACCCCCTCCTCTCAGTCTTCCCTGTTAAAGAAGTCTGGTCAAGGCCAATACCTCCTAAAATAGCTGTGTTCTGTTGGGAAGCCTATTATGGTAAGATCAATACTGTGGAAAACTTGCAATAAAAGAAACCTTATATGTGTTTGTCCCCAAATTGGTGCTTTAGGTGTAAAGTGGAGGGTGTGGACTGTAACCATTTGCTAATATCTTGCTTTTTCGCTGCCAATATTTGGAACTGGGTTGTATCATTATTTGGGTGCCGGTGGAACTTGCCCTCCGAAGTAAAGCTGCTGTTCACTCTGTCTACCTTTGGGAGAATGACAAAAAGAGGGAAGCTAATGTGGAAATGTATCAAAGCCGTTACCTTGTGGAATGGGAGGAGAGAAATGGTAGAATATTTCAAGAAAAGGAAAGAAGCCTTGCTGAAGTCAAGGAGTACATAATGACAAGGACAGCCTCGCGGTTGAAATCTTCACACTCATTTGCGGATTACTCCTTTGATGACTTAAGGAGAAATTGGACAGCAGTGGCTTCTACAGTCTCCACAAAGAACAAACCACAGGTAGAATGGAAACCCCCACCAGAAGGAATGGTAAAATTGAATTTTGATGGTAGCTGCCAAGGTAACCCAGGGCCATCTGGAATAGGAGGGATTCTGAGAGATAAAGACAGCAACATGACATCTTTATTTTCAGGACCGGCTGGTGTTGGTGATTCTGTAAGGGCCGAGATACTAGCAGTGGTACAAGGTATACAGCTGGCCAATCAACTTCAAGTGGACAGTTTAATAGTTGAAGGGGATTCCAAAGTAGTAGTGGGCTGGCAGACAAGTCCAGAAACAGCTTGTTGGGGCTACAGGGATCTGTTAAAGAAAGTTAAATGGCTGACAAGAAATATAGCAGTCAGGGTTCACTGGGTTAGCAGATCAGCAAAATGCAATGGTTGATTCTCTGACCAAGCAAGGTGTATCAAGGGGAGATCTGTTTTGGGCTACATTGTAATTGTGTTTCAGGCTTGTGTATGCTTAGTGCTTTTGGTTCAGTCCTTGGGGGAGGTAACACCTCGTGCCTCCTCCTAGCCTGACTGTACTTTCTTTATTTGAATTAATAAAATCACTCTCATTTATCAAAAAAAAAATCTACTACTAAAATTTCTTTCTGTTGAGTTATTAACTTGTATGTCTATTTATTGATGGGGCATTTTTTTATTGTATTGGTTCACTATAAATATTAAATGGATGGATAAACAGCTCCATCCATTTACCATTATTGACTGTGGACATTGTCATTGCAACCAGATGATGTTAGTGGGCTTTATTGGATGACATTGACCCTTGAAGATGAGAACCTTAGATGTTGGTTAAGGATGATTTTTTTTTTTTTTAATCAGTAAACAGAATAAACTTCATTAGATATGATTAAGAAATTACAGCACAGATTTAAGATCAAATTTAGAAACAAGAAAACACCAATTATTCTTAGATACAATTAATCCAAATCTGCCCAAAAAAATTGATCCCTATACATCCGTTGTTTGGCCAAAGTATCTGCCAATCCATTTGCTGTTCTCTTAAGTTTTAACCCAGTTAAAGCTTGCCTCAAGGTCCTTTGCTAAGCTCTTGATTTATTTAATTAGATGTTTGAACTTCCACACACCTAGGCTGCTGTCATCCATCCAAGAAATTAGTATTTTGGAGTCACCTTCTATTTCCTGATTTTTAAACCCTCGCTACTTTGCTAATTTCAGACCTTGATGTAAGGCTGTTTTTTCTGCTTTTATAGAATCCCCTACTCCAGTCGGCCCTGAGAACAAAGTTACCACTTTTCGTGTATCATTCCTGAACATATCTCCAATTCTTGAAAGTCCTGGATTTCCTAGAGAGCTTCCATCAAAGTTAAACTTTAATCCTTTAGGCTGAGGTGGCTTCCAGTCCAAAACTACTAGGGCGGAAAATGTCAATAGTTACAAAATTACCCCTAGGCATCAATGACAAAGAACTAATAGTTAGGTTCAGAGCAGATCTTGACAATAAACAGGCTTTCTATTCTGATTTAAATGGTTTTATGAGTCGGAGAGAGACTTACGATAAAATCCCTCTGCAAGGAAATTACTACCCAATGTCGTCTCTTGCCTTCATGCAGGATTCAAGTGGTCAATGGTTCTCTGTCCACACACATCAATCTGGGTGTGCGAGCCTAAAAATGGTTGTTTTGAGATTATGATGGGTCGCCATTTAGTTGCAGATGATGGGCGTTGTCTTGGAAAAGGAGTGTTGTCTAACCATCCAATGAATGTAATCTTCACATAAAAATTCTACTATCCTTCCATTTAACCCTTCCCTTCTCTCCTGTTATGTTGGAGTCCATCTGAACTACCCAATGCAGGCATTCATTGCTAAGAAACCACAGGAAGCCTCTGTCCAGAAAGCCACCAAGATCCTTCTTTCCTTTGGAAACTCCCTTACCATGTGATATACACATTGTGAGCTTTAAAGTACCACAGCCCTTAAAATACTCCCAGCATCACATTGGGGACTCAAGATTTGTTTTAATCTTACAGAGGCGACAGTGAGATTCTGCCTACTGTGGGAAGGGGAGATCATTGTGTTCAAGTATAGCTGATGAAATTGTTAATCTGTTCTACATGTTCAAGGATCTTGCAGTCCTGAATGCAAGGGGAACTTAAAAACTTTTACATGATGATATAGAAATTCTTGGGTATGTTGAGTAGTTTGGAGATGTTACAAACTAGAGTTGAGGCCCATGAAAGTGTTAATTTTGATGACTAGTTATATTTTTGATGACTTCATTTAAAAAATAAATATGCACATGTGTGAGAAAGGAGAGGAGGAGAAGGCAAATGTGAGCTTTGTGGTGAGAGAACCCATCACCTCCCCTCTTTCCTCTTTCTATTTTATATATATATATATATATATTTGTGGTTTATGTTGCTTCTTGTGCTTGTAACAATAGTGATATCTTTATCAGGTTGTAATTGCAGATGAGTCACACTTCCTCAAGAATGCTCAAGCAAAAAGGACTAGTGCTTCTGTTCCAGTTATACAGGTTCTTCCTTTTCTTGATTAATTAGAGAGTGACCCCATGTTTAGTGTGGGGTAACTACATCTATGTATCATTTTTTATTGTTTTTTTGGTAATAATATCATTATGTTTGAGTCTTACTATTTATTCAGTTATTATATCTAATTTGGATTTCTTATTTCATTTAAGTAATTATATCAGGTTTAATCTATAATTTAAAATTCTTTATAATGATTCTTTTGTTTGAATTGGGGAACTGAATTACAAAAAAATATTGGCCCCACATCCTTTGGAGTGGGTACTTGTTTCTATGGATAGCCATGAGTTAGCACCTTTTTTTTTCACTAGAGTGGATTTGATTACTGTCACTTTTTTTTGACACATGTTTGAGGAAGAAAGCTTCTATTTGAGAGTGGAAAGTACCCACTTCTTGGATACTGTCTCACTTTTTTTTCCTGAGAGTGGATTTGACTACTCTCACTTTTTTTGATACATGTCTGAGGAAGAAAGCTTTTATTTGAGAGTGGAAAGTACCCACTTCTTGGATACTGTTTCTTGAAAAAAAATAGAACACCATGTCTTTGAAGAAGAGGCTATCTATATGAGGGCTTTTCTTTAACACCCACACACACAAGCACAGTATATGCAGGTGTGCAAACTTAATAATAAATATTTTACATGTTTAATGGATGTGGGTTCAATTCTAAGAGCCACCACTTTCTACAAAAAATGCCAAATGTTAGGTCTGTATCTAGTTCATCTCTACCAATACCTAGGATAGCTAGGAACATTGACTAACCTATATTCTCATAAAAATGGGCAATGGATGATAAATGATGTAACCGTTTCTGGTCACGTACCAATTTTTCGTGATGTGTCAAATTTTTTTTTGGGTAAGTACCTCGTCATTTGGCCTGCTCCAAGGTGACTTGTGACTCAGAGGATGATGGGGCTCCCTGGTGGCGAACTGCCTGTGGGAGAGCTATGCCGAGCTCCCTGGTGGAGAACTTCCTGGGGGAGAGCTATGCCGAGCTCCCTGATGGCGAACTGCCTAAGGGAGAGCTATGCCGAGCTCTCTGTGGTGAGCTACCTTGGTGGACTCGTCATTTTCCCTGCTCCTAGGCAGCCTGTGACTCAGAGAATGGTGGAGCTCCCTGGTGTAGCGCAACCCGACTACCCTCTGCATGAGGTGATATTCTCTCCTTTGTACGCGGCGGGAGCTGAGGGACCTGCGAGAACTGAATCAGGGGACCCGGGGGTATTTACCCGGTGGGGACTCTCCGATGCTTAAGTTAGCACTCTGATTGTAGAGAGCTTGAAGATGATATTAGAGAAATGAGAGAGCTAGGGAGCAGGGATTCCCTCCATTTTTCTTCCTCGTCCTTTTGTCTTTGGGGGTTGGAGTCCTTATATAGCGGTGTCCTTTCAAATCAGGCATAACTGCCTCTGTCAAGTCAGGCATAACTGCCTCTGTCTCTCTGCCGCAGCCATTACTGCCAGAGTTGAGGTGGCGGGTGCAGGCAGTTGTTGCAGAGTACGGCTTTGCCAGGCAAGGGACAGCTCTCAGGGCTGGCAGGCATGGTGCCGCCTGGCGAGAGACGTGGGCACAGGTCTCCGGATCTGTCAGGTATGGTTGTCAGGGAAGAGATCTTCCTGCGATATGCCGAACTGCTCTTCCGCGAGCTACCCTGTACCGAGCTACCCTGCAAGTGGCGAGCTGCCTGGGGGCGAGCTCTGCTGAGCTGCCTGTGGCGAGCTATGCCGAGCTGCCTGTGGCGAGCTATGCCGAGCTGCCTGTGGCGAGCTGTGGCAAGCTCTGCTGAGCTGCCTGTGGCGAGCTACGTCGAGCTGTCTGTAAGTGGCAAGCTCTGCTGAGCTGTCTGTGGCGAGCTACGCCGAGCTATCTGTAAGTGGCAAGCTGCCTGTGGCAAGCTCTGCCAAGCTGCCTGTGGCGAGCTACGCTGAGCTGTCTGTAAGGGGCAAGTTGCCTGTGGCAAGCTCTGCCGGGCTGCCCAGTTGTCAAGAGGCTGCACTTGGTTGGCATGAGGTGCCAGGTGTCACAATTTCACTGGAGGGCCAAATCCGCCCTCATCAATATATAAGCATCTCCAGAAGGCACTCTAATTTCCTCACATTGACAAATGGTGCTGTTGAAATTTAGCTATCAGTAGATTGGGTCACAGGCTTCATGAATTGGTATTGAGTAAAGGATGGAGTTCTTGTGGACTTGCCTATTATCAATTTGAGAGTAGTCTCATCGAAGTCATCCATAAAACAGTGAAATTGTTATGGTCTATTAACCTACCCCTCCCAAGAGCCCAGATAGCTGTGACCATGGGTAAAACCCCTTTTTAGGTGCAATACATAATCCAGATCTATGCATTTTGTGGTCTACCACCCTTTCCAATTTGTTCCTTCTGAGTATGCTGTTTTAATATAAAACTTGTATGATGTGACAAATATAAATGGATATCCGCTCTTTCCAAGCACCCTTTGTATCGATCACACACCCACTCATGGTCTCTCTCATTCATAAAATTACTAATTACCTCACTATCTTTGTATAGAAAGCCAAATTTGCAATTTTGCTCAGTGGGACTCCTGCTTTGTCACGACCAATTGAACTATTCAAACAGGTACCTTTCCACTTTCATTGTAGCATTTACATTTAGTTTATTTTTTGTTATCATGTAAGTGAAGTATATCTGTTTTCCTTCAAGTATTTCACTAATATTTCTTTAACCATGCAAAATTTTCAGTTGGAAGCCTTGTATCCAGAAGTATATAAAAATGTTCATGAGTATGGAAATCGATATTGCAGGGGTGTAAGTTTAATCCTGTTGTCCTCTTTAGAATATTATTATTGTACTCTCCCCAATTAAATTTAAGATTACAACTGTTGCAGGGTATATTTGGAATCTACCAAGGTGCAAGTAACCATGAAGAGTTGCACAATTTGATGAAGGCAACTGTGATGATTCGTAGGCTTAAGAAAGATGTTCTTTCTGAACTTCCTGTAAAGCGTAGACAACAGGTAATATATGCTGCAAGTAGACTTGTAACGTGCTTGATGCCCAATTTTCTGTGTGGCTGAGCCGTCCATAAAAGAGGAATACAAGAATTCTGTTACTCCAGTTCTTCTGGAGCATACATTGTTAAGTTGTATAGTTGATTCCTGGGATAGTGGACTGCCTAGGTACCTAAGCAACGGAATTTGACAAAGAGAAAAACTACATTTTTTGTAGATTTGCTTGTTTTATATACTGATTGACATGGATATAAGTTGAAAAAAGCAATACTATTTTTTTTTTTTCTAAATAACTCTGTGTTTCATATGAGAAAATGACAAATGTTTGAAAGACAATAGTGTTTTAAATATATTAATTTCAATATTTCAAACACAATATTATGTCATAATTGGTACCTAATAGAGCAAATGTGTGTCAATAAACTATTTAGCAACTTAAGAAAGCTATAACTTTATATCAATAGAAAGGGGAAAAAAGGATATAGGGTCCTTTTTTTCCTTATTTCCTTCTTTCCTTTATTTATTTATTTGATCAATAACAGAATTTTTTATTAAAGATAGAAATATAGGTTACAAAGGAAACAAGGGGAGAGATAAAGCTCTTAACCCTCCCCAAGATAGCCAAAAAACAGTTACAGCACTGCCCAAAACAAATGTTCCCTTCCCACCCCTTGTTTAGCCAGAGTATCTGCAAAGGAATTTGCAGGACTCTTCACCCAGAATTTATTGCTGTACAGATGACTTTAGTCAAATTGAATGGCATCAGCTATGTTCCTTGTGCCAAATCTGTTGAAATATTTTTCTGGAAAAGGGAGCCTGCATTTTTATTGGAAAAGGAAAGCCTTTTTTTACTGGAAAAGGGAAGTTGAAATACATTAGAGATCCCATACCGCAAAGTGTATCTGAAGGATATAATGATTGGATGCAGGACAATGCACAGATTATGACTTGGCTTTGTAATAGTTTGAACACTTCCATTACTGTCAATTTCATGTTCCTAGATACAACTAATAAGATCTGGGATCATGTGAAGCAATTGTATTAAGGCCAAGAGAATGTGACGAGAATCTACTAGCTATATCAGGACTATATTCTCCTCCAATAGGGTGACAAGAGTGTCGATGATGAGTATTTTTTGGCCTTGAAGAACCTCTAAAATGAATTTAAATGTGTATCAGCCCCTCTTCATAGATTTGAAGACAAAGAACAAAGAGAACCTGGACATGGCCAGATTTTTATGTGTTGAGAGCCGTTTATGTGCTAGTACGGGCTTAAATTTTGGGTAGTAGTGATATCTCTTGTGCTTCGTTTTTTGAGACATTAGTCCAACCTACTACTCTGCTTGGGCTGTCATTCCCGGTTAAAGAGATTTGGAGCAAACCCATTCCTCCTCGGGTTGGTAGTTTTTGTTGGGAAATTTTCCTGGAAAGAGTTAACACAAACGACTTGCTTCAAAAAAAGAGGCCCAACTGCTGTTTACTTCCGAATAGGTGTATTCTTTGCAAAGCTGATGGGGAAATGGGTAATAATATTATGGTTACTTGTCCAATTACTAAGACTGTTTGGGAGTGGGTGTTTTCCCTGGGTATACTTGGAATCCCCGTGAGTGTGCAATGCTTGTTCTCTCCTTCTTTCTTTAGTTGGCCTAAGAAAAGGGGGAAGATTATGTGGAGAAGCATTAGGGCTGCAGTGTGCTGGTCAATATGAGAAGAAAGAAATTCACGAATTTTTTCAGATAAAGAAAGAACCACGGAAAGCCCAACACATTTGATACTTTCAAGGGTTGCTCATTGGCTGAAATCAATGGAGATATTCTCTGAATTCTCTATGGCAGACTTGCTGAGAAAGTGGAAAGAGGTTGCTACTGCTGCTATGTATAAAAGGAACTGTAGTCCCACTTGGACCCCCCCTCCTGCYGGATTCATAAAACTGAATTTTGATGGATGTAGCTTAAGGAATCCGGGGACCCTTGAGGGGTATATTACTGCCATGTTCTCTGGGCCAATTGGAGAGGGTGACTCTCTTAGGGCCGAAATTCTAGCAGTTCTTGAAGGAATCCAAAGAGCAAGAGAATTAAGCATCAGATGCTTAGTGATTGAGGGGGACTCGAAGGTGGTGATTAGGTGGCTGAAAGTAGATATCCGTAGCTTGTGGAGCTACAGCAATGAGAAGAAAAAAATTTAATTGGCTGTGTAAGGTCTTAGAGGTGCAATACAGCTGGGTAAAGAGAAGTGCTAACTCATGGCTGATGGGTTAGCTAAGCAAGGGGTGGCTAAGGATTTTTTGTTTTGGGCACATTTTTAGTATTTTGTTGTCATTTTGATGTTGGGGAGTTGAGATAGTTTACCTCTCCATTTTCTGTAATTAATTTTCACAAGTATTATTCATTAATAAAGATTTCTGTTATCGATAAAAAAAAGTGTTCTTACAAGTTACGAGAGTTTCCAATTCACTAGATGAGAACACTCTTGCTTTAGAGAGAGACCAGCTTTTGACTGTGACTTTTGGTGGATATTCTAGTAGAGGTGTATGTGGTAGAGGGGTCTGCTTATGTGTTGGACATAGTTCCATAGGTGGTCGTGGAGGTCAGAGAGATGGAGGTAGTAATAGGAATGGTGGTAGTGGACGTGGAGTGTTGCATGAGTGCAGTCATTATGGATGTGAGGGACATACTATGTGTAAAGAGACTGGGCCGAATGGGCCCTAACAGCCTTTCTTGTAATATCTTTTATTTTATGTTGATGGGCCACACTTAATGGGCCTGCTATTTATTCTTGTTTTATTTTTCTTTATGTAACTGCCAAGCTGGCCGCCCACTTAAGGGCATTCTTGTCATCATCAAATTTTTATATCTTAATAAAATAGGGTTAGAGGAGAATGAAGAATTATTCGACTCCTTCTCTTACCTCTTCTCTTTGCCATCTTCTTCTCTTGTACAGTTATTCAGACCTGTTTTATTCTGCTAATCACTAAGTTTAATCTTGATATTAAAGGACTGATTTACATCTTGGTATCAGATCGGGTTTAGTTCCTCTTCCTTCTTTTTCTCTATAGTATAGAGAATCAATTGCCTAGTTGGTAGAAGGGTTTGGAGAGTTTAGTTCTTGCTAGATTTTGCCAAGAAGTGATGCTGTTCTGCTGTTGCCCGAAACCCTAGCCGAGTAGAGATTTTCGAGGGTACCAGGAAAGGTGAAGCTCGGGTGTGGCACTTTGTGCTTGGAAGGTGTCTTGTGACTACTAAAGGAGGGCGGTTCAGGTTTGGAAGTGTGGTAGGTGCGGCAACATCTTATCTCTTCCTCCCATCTGCTGGACGGAGCAAAGCCCTAGTTTTTCAAGCACCCGAGTTCTGGTTTGACTTCAAGTAAGTTTACATAGTCAAAGTTTCTGTTCCTTGATTTCCGTTTGATATTTAGACTTACGGAAGTGAGTTCAAGCAGGTGCCGGTTTTTGGACCTGGCTCAGTAGATTCCGTTTTGATTGGTTTTACCACAATTAAGCTAAATGGGACGAACTATCTTGCTTGGGCATAGTCTATAAAAATCTATGTTTGTAGTAGAGGAAAACTCGGGTATCTCGCAGGCAGTAAGGTGAAACCCGAAGAGACAGACCCTGAATTTGAAAAATGGATGCAAGAGAACTATACTGTTATAGGATGGTTAGTCAACTCTATGCAACCCCATATAAGCCAACACTATCTCTGGATGTCTTCGGCTAAGGAGATATGGGACAGTGTAATTGAGACCTATTCACAGAAACTTAATGTGGCTAGAGCGTACAAA